GGGTCTGAACCACCAGCCTTCTGGTTAACAGTAAAATGTCTTAGGTACTATGCCACCAGAGAACAGGCAAAAGGTAGAAACTGGAGGAATAAAGGGTAACAGACACCAAACAATTTCTACACCCAGCAGAACAAATTACATTTGTTCCCTAGGCTTGAAAATAATACTCTGTTTTCTGAGACCATCTAGGCAATGGCCCTGCCATACAGACAATTGGTGGCTACACCCTTTGGATTCTAGGGAGGATCCTCAGCCTTGGGCTTCAGCTCCACCTTCCAGGCCCTATGGGATGTCAACTCTGCTTCCTCAGCTTTAGGGAGCCCTAATCTAGTCCATCTGAGTGGTGACTCCACCTACTAAGCCCCGGCAGGTTCTATTCTTCTGCCCCTTAGGCGGGGCAGCCCCATCCCTTCAGAACTGAGCAGTGGTCCCATGCCCCTGGCACACCTGAATGTTAGGCCCAGCCTCCAGAACCCCCATATTCTGGAAATGAGTTGGCAAAGATCTGACTTTTTGAAACTCAGGAGGTAGTGGTCCCACTATTTGAGATCCAGATGACTATGGTCCTTTGAAACTGAGAAAGCCCTGTTTCCGGTGCTACTTCCAACAGTCTGCTAACCTCCGAGCTGCTCGAGGGATGGTGCCTTTCTTTTCTTGAAGGACAACAGATGTAGCTCCTTTGACCTGTCTCTTGCCCGGAAATTCCAAGAGAAAGACAGTGTTCTTTCCTTTTGACGCTTTCTCTGTCCCCTTCAGTCTAAACTAATGGGTTTTTGCTACGATGGTTGGTTAGAACCATCAGTCACACGCTTAATCTCTTCAACAAAAGATTGTTTAGCCACATCCTTGGTGAACATTCTAGGACACATCTTGATTTGTACAACAGAAGTTTCCAAATCTTTAAGTTCCGTTTTTATTTTACACACTTCATTTTAAAGTCCATCTCTTTCTTCTTGATTTTCCTGTAAGTGGCAAAGAGAAACTAGGTGGCTTCTTTAAGAACTTGCTTAGAAATCTCCTCAGCCAGACAGCCAAGTTCATCAGTTACGAATTCCACTTTCCACAGAACATGTGAACATAATTCAGACAAGTTCTATGCCACTGCATAAAAAGCACTGCTCTTTCTCCATTGCCCAATCACATGTTCATCATTTTCTTTTAAAGCCTCACCAGAAGCACACTTAACATCCACACTTCTAGCAACATTCTGTAGCTGGCATTGTATGTATTCTCCAGTACGACAGACTTTCTCTGTAGCTCTCCTCACTTCTTTCTGAACCCTTCCCCTAGCATTGCCTTTGACGTCCATAATTTTACCAACAGTCTCTTCAAAGCAATCTAGGCTTTTACTATCAGGAATCTTGAATTCTTCCAGCCTCTACCCACTATCCAATTCCAAAATTGCTCCCACATTTTAGGTATTCTGTTAGAGCAGCACCCTCCTCTTCTGGCACCAAACTGTCTTAGTTATATAGTGCTCCTATAACAGAAAAACCACAAA